TTGACTCTATTTTCTATTCATTTCACAAAGTATGGTGGTGAATAAACTTTTGAATGGTAGTGCAATATATATATATATATATATATATACAGTTCCTGAAAGCACAGCCACACACAGCATTATTTTCATATTTTCAATCTTTACCATGTCAGGTCAAATTCTATCTAAATTATTTTAGATGATCTCCATACACAGAGTGTATACAAAATGACAATAAGTTTAGTCTTAGTCTAAGTTGATGTGGCCTATCCTGCCACCACTTTTAAACCTTTTTTGAGCGCTCTCCTCTTTTAAAGCGAAGCTGTTTGAACTCATCTAAATGTGGGCTGTGCGTTCACCAGACAAACAGGCTCCATTGTTCTGGTTCGACCTTGTAAGGAATCTTAACAGTTGGCCGCTCTTGAACACTTGTTATTCAAATTTTGGCACTCACCAATGAGCGCCGTCTGCTTCTGGGATGTCGACCAAACGACGTGAGTTTCATTCTGTGGGACACGCAGCTGCAGAAGCCTCAGTAAAAGCCAGACTCCCACCAGACACCACAGAACCCACTGTTCAATCATCAATGTTTAGGGACCCTCTCCTTACATTCAAATGATTTCTTATATCATAAAACTTATGTTTTACAAAAAAAAAATGCTCATATTTTTCACTAAAGTTCTCAGGAAGCCATCTAAAAAAAAGACTAACTTCCATTATGCATCATGACCAGAGAAGTGCATTTTTTTTGGTGCTTCAATTTCAGACTAGAAGTCTTTTGGAGGGGTTGTTTTTTGTTATCTTCATTATCTCCGGTCAATCAGTAATTATTTATTAAGCATGTAGTGTGCTCACTGTTTTTTCTAGGTATTTGGTTTTCAGTCATAAACTCAGATGTTAATCATATGTGGGAGACCTTTATTATCCACAGGTCCTAAGCATGTCAGGTTATGATGTTTCATATCTCTGCTGGGATCATTTTCTTAGAACTCTTAATCCAAAACCTTCTTGGTGACGTTTTACTAATGCAACACAATGTTAAATGATCAAGCAGACATTTTAGCCCCAATGCTTCTTTTTCTTTTCTGATGCCACAACTTCAAAAAACAACCTCACCAACCTTAGCTCAGTTTCTAAAAGAACCGGTCATTTTAGAAAAAACCTGGAAGATGTTAGCTAAAAAGCCACAGCTTCATATTGTTCCCATTTATCCTGCATTTTGAAGTATTTAACATTCCTTGGGATGTATCTTTGAATTCTTTAGAAATACATT